GGAGTTGAGCAACTCCACAACTTTCTTGTTATAAAGAGACCTTGCAACATTCCTTTCAATACCGAGAGCTTCATATACGCATCCTCCATACTGCTGTGAATACGACTGACTGCGGATGGATTTTCACAAAGGACTGAGTAGGAGTGAAATATTTACAACATCGCCTTCTGTCAGCTGGTGCGTGTCAATCCTCTATATGTTGATATGAGTGAGTTTTGAAGCAAAAAATGGGTCAAATTCACAGATTTAATGGCCCAGACAGGGACGTATGCTCTTCCAACTTCAGCGATTGGTGGAAAGACTACGCAGCGCTTTGAGTCAGGTTTCATGATCGGAATGCAAGAATGGAAATCCTGCACCTTTTTTTGGTCACTCTCTCTTTTATACTGGTCTACCTGAATCTGCATTGAGTCACACCCGGACACACACATGCATGGTGGTGTACTCGAATTGACTTCACGACGTTCAGTTCGAGCCATCATTGTTGTTGAATAGGCTCGTAAATCTTCCGTCTATTTGCAATTGGAAGTCAGAATGGGATTGCAGATTAGAATGCTTGATATTCCTGACACGTCTTAACAAAACAACGAGTGTTCGAATGAAGGCATACCGAGTGGTTCCATGGTCACAGACAAATCCATCTACGCCTGCAGAACCTTTGTGTGAGATATTCGTAGAGTAAGATTGTTAGTGAAATGCCAAAGCAGTTAACATCTCAAGCCTTTGAGCACAGCAACTATAAAAAATCACTGTTTATTCTTGGAAACACAAATGCTATTTGTAGTATATAATATGAACATTCTTGCTTAGCTCTTTGAAATGACGTGACATCATTTGTTTAACTTGTTGATAAAAGGAAGATGACAGTCATTCACAAATTCATTTGCTGCTACTTGGACCAGCACCTGACGAGGATGATGGACCTGCGTTACCCTTCTTTGAAGCACGCAATGTTTGACCTTGACCAGTGAATGATTCTGGAGTATTCGTTGCCTAAGAAATCATAAAGATTAGCCTTGAGAGATGAGCGAAAAAAGACCTTCCTATAAAATCATACCGCTGCATCTGGGTTATTCTTATCAGCTTTGGTCTTGATGATTGTCTCATATCCTTGTAATCACACAAAGAGGATCAGTTTCTTCATTCTCCTGCCTTTATAATTTTCATTTTGCCTTTCCACACTCACCAAAGAACAACTTCCCAAATGGTAAATGTAAAGCAGCAGGAATAGGTCCTCTTCCATTTGTCGACGACACACCAACACCACTACCAGACCCTGCTGCCGCTGCTGCTGTTGACGGATTCGGTAGAGCTCCACTTCCAGAAGGTGGTTTCTGACCAAACGGCGATGCGACAGGTGAGCTTCCGTATGATGCGCCATAAGCAGATGGTGAATCAGCTAGTTTCCCATTCAATCGTTGACCAGATCCTTTGAATGGTCTGAAGCTAGCTAGGTCACGTTCAACCTTGTGTTCGTCGATTGATGAGACGGATGATGATAGCACAGACTAATAAAGAATATGAGCCATGTTGTACATCTTTGGGTTAGAAATTTTCGGCAGGGACTTACTGCCGAGAGTTTGCTCTTCATAGATTTGGGTTCTTCATAGCCTATTGGAGCCATAAAGTCCACCTAGATTAAAAAATGTTGAGATTCAGATTGCGCAACAAAAAACACATGCTGAGAGTCAGCCATTGCAACTTTAGCAACTAATAACTTTTCACAACTACCCATCACATCCCAACACAATCACACTAACCTCCAAATCAGTCTCGATAATCGAAATCCCCCTCCCACTTGGCCTAGTCTCCATAACAGCAATATCAAACACCTTCTTATTGTACTGAAACCTTATGACATCCCCTTCCGTCAATGCCGAGAAATTCCTAAACGCATTCTCCAATACTGCCTTTGGGTCGGTAATATCTAGGAATGCGACTGATTGCGGTTGAATTTTCACGAATGAACCGAGTGGGAGGGATACATTTTTCACACGGATCATGTCGCCTTCTGTGATGAGGAGTGTGTCCATCATCTAGTGTGAAATATGGGTGAGCATCTCTTGATGCAAAAAAAACTCGTAAACAGTCACGAAGGATTACCCAGGCAGGAAGGTATACCCGTCCTTCATCAGCAATGAATTCAAGTACACCGGCATGAGTATGTTTTTCGGGAGTTAGGGCTGATGAGAGTTCGAAGAGCATGGGGTATTGGATGTGTAATGAGGCTACGTGAATGGATCAGATGAGCGATCGTGCTCGTGGGCGTTGCTTTGTAAATAGGACGTTGATAACGTACTGAGTTGGCCCAAAGCAGATTGAGGTAGAATGACTATTTATAACAGTGATTGGCCAAAAAAAGGTCAAACCCCATCTGCCTTATGATCAAAATGAACCAACAATTCAACATACTCTTTCCACCGAAATTGACTTCTGGCCGTTCAGTTCGATCCATCATTGCCACTGAATAGGCTCGTAGATTTTCCATCTATGGCATTACTCAATAGTGTCAGCGAACCAACCTGGAATGTTTGATGTTTTGCGAGATCTCAACAACCAAACATCCTCCGGATAGTACGTACCCAAGCATTTCCGTGGCCACGAGGACGAGGAACAAAGTGGTGGCCTTCAAAGTCATCGAATTCGTTGAACTGTGGTGTTGATTTGTGTTAGAAAGCATTTACGTTGATTTTCAAAGCGATTAGAGCAGCTGTTTGGAAAGAGATTGAGTATGTAAGAAGGTCGCATTATGTTCATTTACCATTCTCGCATTCAAGTTTCCTTATTGTCAAGCCTCAAAGAGTCAATCAAGTTATCACGGCTTGCTGTTGGTGACGCGTCAACTACATAGCACACACAAGTTTTGTGCAAAGGATGAAATCACGCATTAAGAGACTCGAAAAATGAAAATCTAGTTGAGAATTATATGTAAACGCGATATTGATACAATACAAAGGAACATACAAGCATTTATGGGTCAAAAAAATATACATCATATACGGACTGCCTTCACAACCAAAACAACCTCTTGCTTTCATTTAGCAGATCTCTTCATCATTCCCTTTCTAGCAGCTATACCTTCACTACGAGCAGCACGGCGCTTCTCACCGATAGCAGGCGATGTAGGTTCAGTCAGCTTCTTGTCAGAGGGTCGAATCTGTATACCAGTATAGTGCCTAATAGGTTGAGCACGATGTACCAGCTGCTGTCGTACTTCTTTTACTTGTTGTTCTTCTTCCCTCTATGATGGCAACAAAAAATGTAAGGAATCAAGTTCGTACCAGATAACTGTGAGGGTCTTTTTTGGCTCCATACTAGCATCCGAGATCAGCCCGAAAAGAGCTGGAAGCGTTTCTTCACTTACCTGCTCTTTCTCAGCCATTTCACGCCTCAAAATTTCCTCCATCTCTTCCTTCTTCTTCAACTCATCCTCAAACACTTTACGTTCTTCAGCTCTCGTCATGGTATGCAATTCAACTTCTTCAGGTTCTGTTAATGGTTTGGTTGATTTCTTGGGTACAAACTGCGTCGACAAGTCTGGAATTGGATGAGCTTTAAATCTTGATGCATTCTCTTTTTCTTCTGATTCCTTTTGTATCATGTTTTGGAAGGTTTGTTGATGAAGTGCCCCTCGTTCATCCGTGTGGAAGTGGAATGGATGTGGTTGCGTTAGAGGTCTTTCTGGGTGATGATGCAGTGATGAGCCCTACATAAAGATACTTCAGTGTCAAGAAACGAAAAAAATAGGTACACGCTGCAAACTATCTCACCCCCATGACTTCGTCAGGCAATGGCTGTGCCATAAACTGACGTTGTCGTTCTTCTTCCTCCTGTTGCTGTCGTAAACTAGTTTCAAATTCAGCTCTTTTGCGTTGACTAATTTCTTCACCAGGCAAATGATAATTATCAGCTGGCATTATAACTCGATGTTCTCGCACAGGTTCAAATGCTTTACTGAAATCGGGTATTGGATTGGCCTTGACTATTCGTGATGGTAGTGGAGCATCTGGTTCTGGGGCTTTACGTTTTGTGATAGCGGGTGATCTCGGAATTGTGAGTTGTTGCCTCTTGACTGGTGGAGCTTTAAATGCGCCTGCCACAACCTAAACAACAAAACTGGTTAAAAGCATCGATGCAAACATGTCGTTGTGTATCTCTTACTTTGGGATCTACAGGTCTGGCCTTGAAGGCAGGTATAGCTGCCAGCGCTGCTTGTTCCAATTCATCTCGCGAAGGAATACTACGTAGGGAAAGATGCATTTTGATGAGTACATAGGCGGATGTTTTCGCCAACCCTTTCGTTTGCTTACTATTTTGGCCTAGCACGTAACTTGGTCTTCAGATGTGGAGACTTTGGATGCGTGAGTTTTGGACTATGTGACTTTGTTGCAGCCTGAATTTGAATGAGGGAGAGGAAAGCAACATTAAACATTAACTACTATGCGATCATCGGTCGCCAAATATGGAAAGGTTCGTGCCTTCCTTCTCTTACCTTCTTAGTTGGCTTGACTTTGAATCGGTCAGGAGTCTTTGCTTCAAACTTCTTAACCTTTTGAGCTAGAGGTACAAAAGGTGATTTGGGAACCTTGGTAGCACTAACATCATTACCATGTTCTTTGAGTGAAGCATGGAAATGGAATGGCTCAGGAATGGTCAATCCTGGTCGTTTTGTAGGTGCTGCAGGCTTCTATATGTAAGAAGGGGTTAAGTGAGCTATTGAGATCATCCATACGATTTTGGAACGGTTTTTTGCCCGTTACCTTGACGGCAGACTTTGAGGTAGCTGCACTCAAAAGTGGCATCCGAGCTCGAAGACTCATAGTATGGAGGTTTGGTTGAGTTGGTTTGGCAGTTGTTCGTTTAGTAATAGTTTCGGCAGATGCTGTTCTTGCTTTTCCTTTGGCTTTATCGACTACAGTCTGCACCGTAAACGTTTCTTCTTCTTCTTCATGATCATCTTTCGTCGTCGTCTTCTTGTTGGGTTGTACATCATCAAGCGCCCCTTGTTTGGGTCGTTTGGCGATTACAGGTTGAAACATTTCAGTAGTTTCTGCAACCTTCGCCGATGAGCGAGTCGATTTCCGTGTAGGTCTGTTGATAAGATTAGAAAGTAAGATGAGAGTGAGTATATCATGATGGGTTTCAGTACAACTAGCAATACCTCGTTAAATCGTCTGAAAGAGCTGCTAGTACATCAGAGTGTTCAGCAGCGGCAGCAACATCATTATGTTTGCCCTTTACTTTTGGGACGTATGGAGTAGGTAATCTGTCGTCTAACAGTAGAGTTTATATGGTTGGTCGATGAGTATCGGAATGATAAGCAAATGTGCCAAATCAACAAACACTAGCATAGTACAGGTATATGCGACATACCAAACCATTGGTCTACATTGACATCATCACTCTTGTCAGGATTAGCAAAGTCATGAAACTTTGGAGCATTGAATTCATATTTAGAATCATCATCGTTTGTTTGTTTGCCAGGAACCGAGTGTTCCCGAGTAGATCTGTTCAATTGGCTTGCCTTGGGAGTAGATTCGTCAGCATGAGTCGTCTTGGACGCTACTCGAGCACTCTTTCTCTTGCCCATTCTTGAGTATAGAGCTCTTTATATTTTTTGGATGTTTGGTGTGTTTGACGACGAGTGGAGAGTGAGCTTTGATGGATAGCGGGCAGCCAATGCGTGATATGACAAGTAAATTGAATTTGTTTTACTATTTCAATCTGCTTTGATCGCAAAGTTGTTTGACTATGCTGCGATTGCATCCTCATTATCCAAAACACGTCCACTAAACGGCCAATAGAGACAAGACGAACGTGCGCTAGTCATTATCGACGCGTGAAGAACTGAAGAATCACTCTCATACCGTATCTACCTCCTTGAAAGTGCTTCGCTGCCCCCACCTTCTTCCAACACTCAGGTTACCTACTTTGATCAAATAACTGCAAGAATGGCATCAGGAAGTGATGTCCGTGATATACTGGGCCTTGGAGCTGCCGGCCCATCATCGGCTACAAAGCCTCCACCGCCCAAGAAGCTCGCAAGGCCTCCTGGTCAAAAGAGACTTGGTATTATTCACGACATTTAGAGTGTCTTTTTTGCAGACCAACACTTTCAATCATATTACAGCTGGAATTGCTAGAGAACTTCATGAATTACTGGGAGGAAGCGCTCCACCTATTGTGCCAGTGCGGCCACAATACAAGGCCAAACCCAAAATGAGCAAACGAGTTACTGGATGGTACGTACACGTTGTTGGAGTGGATGAGAATGAAGATTATCCTGCATTGGACGTTTACAAAGATACTCCCTGTATCTTACAACTCGCAGGGTTTGGAGGCAATTCAAAAACGATGCAAGATCAGATGGACTGCTACTAGAACACTGGGAAAAGGTCACAGACAGTCAAGATGGTGCGAGAATCTATGCTTGGCATCCGCCATAGTTACTATCTTGCCTTTCTTGTGCTCATCAACACTACTGATTCATTTGCTAGAACCGTATCGATTCAGCAAGTTCAACAAGAATGTCAATATCTTGGAATACTCTGACGATGAGTACACAAAGTTTCTTGTCGGTAAGTCGAGATCCAAGCTGTGGAAGGCGACAAGGACGGAGCTATATCGTACGGTGGGGTCTTCTAGGGCGTTGGTTCACATTCTTTTCCCCTATACTTTAGACGAACAATGGTCAAAAGAAGAAACAGACTACTTATTCAAGCTATGTAAACAGTACGAACTACGCTTTATCATTATCACGGACAGATACGAGTTTGAAGACAAGCAGCGCTCAATGGAAGTACGGGAGCCAAAAATATGGACGACGGAGTCTACATGGCTTTCGGGACTCACAACTGCCTTGGTTTATACAGGATCTGAAGGACCGATACTATACTGTTGTACGCAAGATTGCTGAAAGTCGAGCTGAATCTCAGCCAGAACTCCGAGATCTCGTTACCACACATCAATTCAACAAGAGTACGAGCTCATTAACATTTCGACATCCTTCCTTCGTCTCTTCCAACCTTGTTGTCTAACGTTCTTAAACCCACTAGACATGGAAGTCGAAAGGAAGAAGCATCTTGAGAGGCTCTCTACACGCACGCCAGAACAGATCAAGGTCCGTTTCGAGCAGAAATCTCATTGTCCACAATTCGTGAATAATGTTTTTGTTGACTAACAAACCTGTTTACCTATTCAAAAAAACAGGAAGAAGAAATCTTGTTCCAGGAGCTACGCAGGAGAGAAGCTAGTGAAGCCAAGTGGACTAAAGAACGAGAACATTTGGCAAAGACCTTGGGTAGTATGGACATTCCTATACCAACGTCTATGGGTGGTCCTTCTGGTGTATGTTACATGATTTGGGCGATGATCGTTCAGATGTCTTCATGTTACTAAATCACATGTTATTTAATAGGAGCTGATTGTTTCCCTTCAAGCTGGGGTTCCTGTAGCGCTGGTTGCACCTCTGTTTTGCTCGATATGAATTCATTTTGAAAATTTAGATAACCGATTTGGTCGAAAGGAGAGAAAGGAGTCACTTGTGCCTGTGGGTCGCTCCATTTTGGGTGAACTGGAAGGTAAACCCTCGACGAGAACTCGGGTGAATCATAGCCAGTTCGGACCATCAACTCTTGAATTGACCGTCCTACTCATATCTAGACCTGTCTTCACGCCGAGAAAAGTTGCCTCCAGGTGTCTTCCTGAGGTCATCACGATTGACTGCAGTCAAATCACAATATCAATCCAAAGTCAACGAAGTGTTTGAGCGATTTGACATACGTAAGTATTAAATCTACCAGGACTCCTCGTTTTTGCTCCCCGCTCACGTATTTTTCGTCTCGTCAAACCATAGCAATGAAACCCGTAATGCCAACTGGCCCAATCTGCAACAAGATGGAAGATCTGAAAGGACTCATTCAGCAATTACTGGATATGAAACGAATGCATGATCGAATCAGTATGGATATGAAGAGTGCTATACAAAGGAAGCAGTATTTGGAAATGGGAGACGATAATGATGATGGTGGTGGCGGGGTAAGGGTTTAGGTGTAGCGCACAAAAACGAAATCTCAAGATATCTAATGCCATTTATGTTTTTAGGGTCGAAAACGCTCAATGAGTTCACCTGCTCATTCCCAGCGAGATGCCAAACGCCAACGGGCTTGAATGTGCTTTATACAGATGTTCAGACAAGCTTTTACGCTATGTACAGACAATACAACACCTTGATTTAAACTTACATTTCACTGGGTTTGGCATTTCGTTGTTTCGTTTTATGTTGGGTTTATATACAACTCTTACTACCTCCAAAGAGACTCGGGAGGCCTCCTGGGCAAAAGAGACTCGGTTTTGTTTAACTCCCCGATCGTGTGTTTTTTGGTCAGTTAGTTCTGGTGTGTCAACCCTTTTTATGCTTTAAGGGGAATTGCCAACGAAACTTGAGGTGTTACTGAGAGGAAAATACTCATGCGCATCGTTTAGGTTTCAGTAGAAATCCGACTGGTGAAACGCGTAGAAACGAGTTGAAATCCGACTGGCGGACGCGTTGAAACAGGCTAAAATCGTCTCTCCATCTCCATATTCTCCAAACGCTGACACTCTCTGCCCTGTCTTGGGTTGATGAGCTGCAGAGCCTCGAGTCTTGGCATCAATTTGCCAATTCAATGCTAATGATTCATTCCTGTATTTTAAATAGGACTGCTGACGACCTCCAGAAATGGAACGATCATACACTGCGAAAAAAGCCAAAGATGGAAACGGATCATTACTGTACACGAGCTTGTATCTTCTAATGCAAACATGATAGTGTACAAACTGTTCCAACTACTACCAACCAAACTTTCCATCTTCAATTCGTTTACAGTGCTCATATGGCAAATGTGGTGAATTCAGCCAACCGTTTACTAGTTACTGGTGAGAAATAGTACTTTGGCAGGTATTCATAATATGCCTCAACCACAGCATACACGAATGTTCGAATGGCTAAAGTTAAACAATTAAAGAATTAGTGAGGGTCAAACGACAAAAAACGTTTGCAGGAAGGCCTGGAATACCTGTACATATAGCTCCAGCTTCAGGTGGACACATTCCTTCTTGATTAGCACCAGCTAATCGTGCATTCGATATATACTTTTCTATGGAATCTAGTGTCTTGATGGTGGATTCCAAGACTTGAGGTAGATCATTGGCGACAACACCATACTTGTCTTCTTTTCGAGAGTGTACAATCAAATATGAGAGTGCTAGAGAAATCGAATTGGATCAGCAATCATTCGCAATCGATGTAAGCAAACTAGCATGCCCATTCACCAAAAACATACTTTCTGAAGCCCAAATATACAACTGTGCATTGGCGAATAAACGTCTAGCTCTAGCGGGCGCTGGATTCAATTGAAGTACAGACCCAACAGTCTTGACCAAGGTAGCAGTTCGAGGATGTTGAGATAAGAGTGTCAAGAACTTCTGTACGTATTTCCATATAATATCAGACACTGTGTTGTTCATTGTTGTTACGGATTCAGACACTTGTGCGACTGGATTAGCATCAACACCTAAAAATGCGGGAACAGCTGATAGATTGTTTTGTAAGAGGAAGGGTGTTGAGTCTAGAGTTGAGGATGTTGTTGATGCTGCGGCCGCTGTTGTTGTTGGTGTTGGTCGTCTAGCTAGGCCATCTCGAGATATTGCTGAGAAGACTGATTCTACGGCTCCTGGTTTTGTTGGTAGGAATATAGTTGGATCAGCTTTTGCAGCTGCTCGTCTAGCTGCCTCTTGGATTGTTGGTGGTTGTTTGGCTGGTTGGGACAAACTCTTGCCTTGCCCTAATTTTATGACAGAAAATGAGCTCAAGACGACGAGCATTAAAAAACCGGTTGGTAGCAGCAGGCATACCAAATTTGGCAACAGAGGTAGTCAATTCATCTAATGTGCTTTGACATGCTTTCAAGATGACTGGCCAAGTGGTAACACGACCTCCTACGACAACATCATTGTAGACATCTGCACGTCTCATAGGGTCATTCCTGACAAAGTCAGCGAGTTCTGCATAAGCGAGATGCTACCGTTTAGAGTGTTAGAAATGTTGCAGCAGAGATAAAAAGTGGAATTGATACCTTGTAATATGACTTCGATTCATTCAAGCCAGACAACAATGTATTGTATGGGTCTGGTGATTTGTTAGTTGAAACAACCTACAGAAAGGATTTCAAGGTCATATATCGAGCTTTTTTAACTTAGATCTCATCTTTTCATTACCTCTGCCCAAATAGCTTGCATCAACTGATCATTCCATTCCCAAGCCGACATGCAAACGAATCCACCCATGAATGTATGGAATAGTAAAGACATATCAAAATAGCTTCGATAGAATGTTCGTACTTTCGATATCCTAGAACAGAAGACATTTCAGCAAAAAACGAGCACACAACGAGGAATAATGACACTGGCCCCACCTTGTCCAAAACACCCACTTAAACACAAAACCAACCAGACTATAGATCTGCCTTGAGAATATAAAGTAAAACACCATGTACCCCAATAATGCGATGAATGATAAATAGGAAATGTTTTTGATCATTGCTGATGCTCGTGATTTTAGTCTAAACCACAATGGTCGCTACAGCAAAAACGAGTACTTAGCAGCTATCAAATGGAATTTGAATTCAATCGCTGAGCTGGCAATACCTTGACTAGAGGAAACCTCAATCGATCCTTGTCTGAAGCACTTCGATACCAAGCGTACCCACATCCGAGCAAGACATGATACACTAGTATGAAGCCGATATTCTCATTAGGTTCTTGATGTCCAAACCGTCTATACGAGTGTGGGGGGTGAGCAAAAAAAAGCAGAAAGCATTCAGGATTTGCTAATTGTAGCATCCAATAACTTGCCCTTCAGGATACAGGATCCATTGACGATTGAAGGAGGCATGACTTGATAACAGTCCACGCAAAGCAAACAAGAAGCTTGATAAAGCGAAAGCTTGTATGGTTTTTAGTGAAGGTAGTCTCAGCACTTGTTGGAATTCGACATTGTCGAGTGGTCGTGTTATTCTCTGGGCTAGTAGAAAGAAACGATGAGTAAATTGGTGCTTTACAACATGTAAACAGGAATGATGAAGCTTCGGATTACATTGCAAGTCATGGATGATGATATGGTATATGATGTAGAGAGCAACAAATGCTAGCGATGATCCCAAACTCAGGTCGACAAGAATCCACTTCCATACTCCTATGAGACATATTGAGGTTAACAATACGCGTTAATGCAGCTAAATCCAATTTATATGGCTATTGTCTTCAATGTGCTTACCACTCTTAGTATTCCAGAAAGTGGAAGCAACTTGAATTCCAACAGCAAGAGCAGCCAGATTTTGTATATGTCTGCGAGAGCGTGACGCCATCTCGATCTTGACTGCCCCCTCATATAGCGACATTCTTGCGAGATTGTATTGAATTCCGTTTTTATTGTGCTGGAAATGGAGTCAAGAGACGTTGATGACATTTATCAGTTTGGCAGCTCGGTACAGTACAACAAACGACGAGATCAAACCTATATTCCACGGAAAAATTCATTAACTTGCTGCATCTACTAGGGATCTGTCACGGGAAGCGGTGGAAAATCAACATCACTGCATTCAAACAACACTATTGGACGATCCCAAGGTCAACGCCTTCAAACCGGCAGATACAACTCAAATACAAGCAACACCAGCAATAATGTATCTTCTCCTATCTCCATACCACCAACTACCGGAATCGCTGCTGACTCTCGTCCAAAAACTGCCTCTGTGAGGGCTGCCGGTTACTCGTCTAGAGGTCGTAAATCAAGCAAGGTCGACGGCCCTACCTCTCCAATCAAATCACCTATAGAAGCTGAACGATCGGCTGCTGAAGAAATGATTCACAGCATGGAGAAACAGATATCCGGGACAATAGACTCTTCTGCTCTTGCTGCTGCTGAAGGGCGACTGGAAACCGCATTAGAACTAGCTATTGACGCGTCAAAACGTGAAAAGTTATTGGCCAAAGCACGAGAACAAGTTATAACACCGGCATCACCACCATCACCAACAGATTTGGCAAATCCAGATCTAACATTCTGTGTATTGCTGAATCTGGCTGCTAGACAATCCGGTAGTGGATTGCTGAATGAGGCGTTAAACACGTATAATACGGTTGTCAAGAACAAGGTGTTTGCACAAGCTGGTAGGTTACGTGCCAACATTGGAAACATTTACTTTCAGCAAGGAAAGTATCTGCAGGCCATCAAAATGTATCGGATGGCGCTAGATCAACTGCCAGCTACCAACCAGCAAGTCAGGTAACGGTCTTGTCGTTGTTCAGTTTTTTACCTGGAGAGGTTTCTGACATGCCTTTCGCCTGTTTAGGTTGAAGATTATGAGGAATATTGGCAATGCTTTCGTCAAGGTTGGCCAATTTCAAGACGCAATAACATCCTTTGAAGCTGTCATGGACGCGTCGCCCGAGCCACATACAGGTATTTGTTCACAGTATCCCGTTCAAACTGCTGACTGCAAAGTCATCAACACTTTTTGGTTGGTAGGATTCAACTTGATTTTATGCTATTTCGCACTTGGTGATTCCGATCGCATGAGACGAGGATTTCAGAGACTTTTGAATGTCAAACAAGATTCGATGGACGAGGGAGGAGATCAGGCATCAGACAGTGATAATGGGATTGCTGATGATCCATTGACGCTGTTAATACGACAAAAGTAAAGCCAGGGCCTCTTGCGTCTGTCATTTCTTTGGCTGGTAACCGCTTTTTTTGTCGTTCTGTCTAGGAAACAAGCAGCAGACAATTACATTTTACTCGCTGCTAGACTCGTAGCACCTGCTGTTGGTGATGATCAGTCGTCTGGATATGATTGGGTTGTGGAATCTCTAAAATCATCGCCTCATATTGAATTGGCTCGTGAATTGGAAATCGCTAAAGCCATACAGTTCTTGAGAAGGAAGGATTTCGCTCAGGTACGGCAAAAACGACTCGTGCGAAATAACTTAAGTAAAGGCTCCTTTATGGATGGTATTGATGCTCATCAAATTTCTCATCATTTCAAGGCCATTGAAACCTTTCGATCCTTCGAGAAACGTGATGCCAAGTTGGCTGGCACAGCTAGCGCGAACCTGTCCTTCTTGTACTTTTTGGAAGGTGATATCAAGAGTGCTGAAAAATATGCAGAAATGGCTCTAGCCAGTGATCGATACAATTCCAAAGTGCACAATAATAGAGGAAATTGTTACTTCGCGAAGGGTACGTCTGATTTGTTTGCAGAGGAAAATGGTGTGGCAAAGGTACAGAATCTGTCAACTGACAAGATTCATCCCTTCTCAATAGGCGAATATGACATGGCCAAGATGCAATACACTGAGGCCATTGGTGTTGACGCTCTGTGCCTAGAAGCTATGTTCAACTTGGGTATATAAGTACAAGGAAACGTTGATTTTAATCCCGACTTCTCAATGTCGTTCTTTTAGCGCTCACATGTAGACGTTTAAATTTGGACGAAGAGGCACTTCAATGGTTTGACAAGCTACAGACTCTCATGCACAACAATGCAGAGATTCTTTATCATATCGCTGACATGTAAGAACTTGGACTTCGAATACCTCTGGGATGTCTGAACGCTCAACTGCTATTCGTAACTAGATACGACAAGAGAGGAAATGTTGGACAGGCATTTGAACAACTAAATGTTGTCATATCTGTAATTCCTACAGATCCAGGCGTTCTTGCGAAGATGGCTGAAGCTTGTGATCGGGAGAATGAGGGTGGCCAAGCGTACCATTACTATCTTGAAGTGAGAAAGTCTTCCATTTAAAACAACAGCACAGAAAGAAAGCAAACTTAGACCCTTCTATGCAGTCTTATAGGTATGCACCATCTAAATTTGATGTCGTGCAATGGCTAGGAGACCATTATACTCGAGAAGAAATGTATGACCAAGCACTACGAGTATACAAGACTGCTGCCGTCATTGCTCCATTGGATGTGCGATGGCCAATGGCTATTGCTCGATGCATGCGTACCAAGGGTGATTACCAAAGTGCTCTTGACGTGTATCGGCGAATTCATTCTCGATACCCCGAGAATGTTGAATGTGAGTTGTATATGCAACGGAAGTCAACATCATTCCATTATTTAAACGTTGGAGTGACCTTTTTCGGGCACTAGGCCTACAGAATCTGGTCCGGATCTGTACAGATCTACGCTTAAAAGATGCACACGACTACTCAGTGAAACTGAAGGCCGTTACGAGGGATCAGGACGTTCCATTGCTGACTGACGATCGTCCCACGGCTCGTAAAGTGTCTAAAGGGGCTGTTGAAAGGCCTGATGTTTATATGGAAGCTGAAGAATCATACAAGACGACAGGTACGTTGTGTGGTGAAGCTCCCCGGACTTTTTTGAGCTTGATGCTGATACGTTGATTTGGAACAGAATCGTACCCGACTATGAGCAAATCACCTGTACATAATGCTCCTATAGAATGGGAGGATGATGTTGGAGGATTGTTGCCAGACTAAGAAGTACGGGATGTGCATTTGTTTGTTCATAGAACACGTAAATAACATCACGATAGGATTGAACAGAAGCCGCGCAGTTGAGTTATGACGCGTAAGGACACTTTTCTGCCGCTGAGCTTGTGTGGCTCGTTCATACGTTCCCTTCTTCCTCTTGTTTCCAAAATTCCCTTAGTTTCAACAGGAGTGAGAAGCAAGTAGATCAAGCGAGTGGTCAATCATTGTGTATGCCATAAACTGAAGTGGTTTAGATAACCTGTACCGTTCTTGTTGGTAAGAAAGGCTTGCTTTACTTCATTATTCTTCCTGCAATACGAGCTTAGACAAAGGAGCTAATCCTTTAATCTGGTAATATAGATAGCAGCCAAGCAAAAATTATGGATACTTTACAATGGAATGATGTTGAACGACGCCTCCCAAACGAGATACTGCTCATGGTATTCAAACACGTGAGTTCAGGTCTCATTTTGCAAAGATTGTTCGGGATCATTGCCGAAGCACTTGTTGGTAATCTAGCTGGGCTTCGCTCGTGTCTTTCAAAACATAAGCTTCGTGTTGATGTTGTTGTTGTTGTTCGTCAAGAGGAAAGAGATCAGAAAAGAAATCGAGTGCGTGCTCACATCATCTCGCGAACCACATTTTGAAGTTAATTTTGTCGAGGTTGAAGAAACATACTGATACTACTAACTAGTGATGGTGCGATGCTTCGATGCGACAGGACAACCACGATAGATTTCCAGCCACAAGGAGTAAGTCCATCGCATTCACAGTCACTTGAATTGCTATATTCCCTTCTCACTTCCTTCCTCTCCTCCTATTTAGCAACACGAAGGCGTGTTTCTCATTCAAACCACACCTTCAAATACCAAGACCACTTCAAAAGTATCTCATCTGTGGACAGACCCTAAGTCGTATCAAGTACTCGAGAGCTCGAGGCTTACGCTGCTACAGGTTGGTTGAATGTGTCTGGCAGTCATTGAGACACATTTGGAGCTCAACATTTCGAAATGTCAAATTAGAGAGCTATTCAAGCACCTGATGCGTCACATTTTGTGGCTGATGTACATGAAATCAATGTAAAAAATTGCTGGAATACTGTCGTTTCAAGAGGCCCTGATTGCTAATAGAAAATATGAACTTCTCGATAGAACAAGAACTCACGACGTGACCAAGCACCAACAATACTAAAGACACCAATATCACTCTACATAACAATTATACGAGATCTAGACGCACTAGGATGGGACAAAGTCAAGTCTGTAGAAGAAGATTTGAGATCTGTCTCATTGGTCTTTTCGTAAGCTGTGTGCAGCACACTGTCGACCACCGTATTCATACAATTCTAATTCAATTTCTAAATCTGATTTCCATTTTAGAGACTCGATGAAACGAAATCACACCGTCATTGTATCATTCCCACCTACTTATCCAAATTCTGCACCAAAGTGTGAAGTATCGTTGCCCCAACCACTTGAGCTTCGTTGGGAAGCTGGACGGATGACGTTGGCCTCAGTGTTGGATCAGTGCAAAGAGGTACAGTTTTCGTGCCATAAACGTTTTTGCCTTCATCTGTCCAACACGACCTGTTTTGCTCAAATTAATCCAGGCTGCATCCCAATACACATCGTACTTTGAACATATCGACGACTTGGAAAACAATACTTGGGTAGCTCCTATTGAACCAGGATCTCGAACCAGAGTTGTCAAACTAGGTATTACTTCTGCTCATAATATTTTTGCTCCAGCTGTGTGCACCAATACGATTCTACGAAATAGGAAACCACTGCTCATTACACGTAAAATTAAACCCATTCCGTCTCGACGATATGCCCGAACTCCATTTCACTGGTCCAAATGCTCAGGTTGTCGAGTTGAACAACACGTTTCGACAGAATGTTGCGAAATGGTAATGGCCCTCAGCTTCTTTTGTTGCTGCTTGAACAATTAAACTCAACTCGAATGTGTTCTACAAATTAGGTCTCCAAATCGTTTACTGCGAGAGAACATTGAGATTCTACTTGGGTCCACATTGCCTCCACGACCAATTGATGTTGATGTGTCGGATGCGGATGAGTGTGCTATATGCTGTACGTTGATTCAGTTATTTTAAGAGGTTCCAGCAGGAATGGAGATCCAACTGCCTCACCCTCTTTTAATCTAGATTCTGGAACAAATCACGACCAGAATAGGACATGTGGAGAATGTGGAAGATTGTTTCATGCTGAATGTCTGGTAAGAAATCTTTTGCGTTAAACGCAAAACTACCTGGAGTTCACCGCAATATTCTTCCTGGTTTAGTCTGAATGGTTACGCTCTCTACCAAACTCACGTTTGGTTGGGACACGTCTTGTTGGACCATGCCCGACATGTGATCAAGAAGTCTCTATGTGAGAAGTGGTTCTGTAAATACTGTTTCATTGTCAAATACTTTGCACAAAGAAGAAAATGCTACCGCAGCAGATTCGTCGTTCTTACAATCGTAGCTTGCTTGATTTCGGCTCTCCATTGTATCGAGATTCATCAACTTTCAAATCAAATGACGGCTCTCTCGAAGAGCTTGGAAGTTCACTTGCAGAACGCAGAATCGTTGGAACGACACGTGTTGCTTGAATAGGACCTGGAGTACATTGCCGAACTATAAGCACTCAAATATGCATTCATTTCATGATGTCGAATCAGATACAGACGGCGAACTGAGCAAAATTTATGTTCGGAGGGAGAAAACTTCCAGCAGAATAAAGGTTTGAAGCTTTGCGTATTAGAATAATTGTAATCTGGTGTATACTTTGAACCAAAGAATAGATTCAATTTCCAATCGTCCATGCAGAAGTGATTCGACATAAGCTCGACCTTCGAAGCCAACTTTGGTGTAAGAGGGCCACAAATATAGCCATTTGAGACGTACTTGGAGCTTGCACCTGTTATGAAAGATCTTCTTCTTCGGTGTCTCGTTGATAACTGTACAAGTATCGACAATGCTGTTTGCTCAATTGGTATATGTATTTACAAGCTAAAGATATAATAATTATGGTACAGATTTTATAGAAGCAACTTCCAAATTCTCGCACTCATCATCTCTGAATAGGTCTCTCAAACAACGAAGCCCACCAGCTCATCCACTTTTTCTCCTCATATACACTAGCTCCATATTCAACATTTTGCCATATGGCAGCCTTATCTGGATGATGACCATTTCCTTCCAACCCTTTACACAGTACAGCAGGTGGACCATCCGTCCAAGTTTGTATGCGTTCATGTTCAAAGTCGACAAACTCAGACCATGATGCGTTTTGAGATGCTGCATTCCAACGTGTGGTAGTTACATTCCACAAGATGTCGTATGTGTGAGTGTCGTATGCGAATCTCACTCGTGGTACGACCTATGTATACAAATGGGTCAGCAAAATGAACCCAATAATGGTATTGCAAAGTATGTGTAATACCATACCAAAACACGCCCATACCCCTCCTTTGCCAAATCATTACAAATCAAACTACACTCTGACGCAGCACATTCAGACCCCTGCACAGACCTCCTAAACTGTACTTGTCGTGTCGCCAACGGTTTAGCAGCGTACACAGCAACTCCATTAAAACAGCATTGCGCTTGAAATGGTAAGCCCTGTGCTAGTCTGGCTGATGATTCGGCAGTAGGAGTGAAGAAATCCCATGGATGTTTGTTGAACTCTTGCCCGTCAATGTCTCGAGCGACCCAGCTAAATGAAACACGCAGATTAGATTCAAGGAATAAACATAAGTAAGGAGAGAGGCGTGTATGAACTCACACATCGTAGAATCCTGGTTCAGATGGTGAATGCACCAAGTCATAATCGAGACCACATGTGATGGAAGAGTCTTGCAGCATGGACTGGAATATCAGCTCTAGAATATCCTAATTTGGTTGAAAGAAACTTTTAAACGATCTTTCCACAGAGAATGAGATGTCTTCAAGCCAATATAAGAATGCGAAAAACCAGCAAGTTGAAGTTGAGAATTCAGGTTTCGAAACGTACCTCAGCACAAAACTGCACATCATTCAAAAAGACAACCCGATCATACACACTCCCATCCCTCCACATGTCAACCAACGGATCCAACGCCCGATTCCTCACATTAGCCAAAAACTCAATCCGATTCGGTATACTACTTCTCGCAACCCCATTCACCACCACACGACACGGTATCCCCAATATTGACAATGCAGTCGACCACGTCGTAGCGATTCTCGCAGTTCCGTCCTTCGAGTCTGATTCGTAGAGCGATATAAACAGGTTTGAGACGTCGAGATTATGTGAGTTGAAGATGGACGATGATGGGGGGTTAAATGGAGATGAGAATGCATGTGAGGATTTACGTGATTCTTCACTTTCGAGACCTTCAGGAGTTAAGAGTCGTGACAGACGAATCAGTTGTGCAAGGACGTTTGAGAGTCCGTCTGCGTGATCTTTTACATCTAGGGCTAGGTATATACGTGGATGGTATTTCACTAGTGGCACGTATCTCTCTAATTGGTGTGGCAGTGGGTATACATTCGTGCATCGTGTGGGAAGTGGTATTTTCGGTAGGGGGAGTAACGCTAGTGATGCTAACAGATCTGTACGTAATGTTCCAAACAATGTCGGTAGAGATGGTATAATCTCATTTTGTGCTTGCAACGCACGTTTGGACTGCTCTTCAATGTCTTTTGGGAGGTTGGTGTCGGCAGCGTGTTGGATTTGTTGTAAGAGGTTGATGGCGTTATCAAACTATCAACGAAAGCACAATATGAGCCTTTCTGGCCGTTATGTTGCAGCACTGTGTATCAGACGTACTCTAGTTTCAGAATTCATAGGCTGAGGATGGTCATCAAGCCCATAACTAACTCGATGCCACACCAGATTCCAAATAGAGTAGCGTTCGCTCATAGTAACGTCGTATGTGGTATCCTTCCACGCTACACAAAAAGAATATTTAAATCACTATTTCACGCACACGAAACGCTAAATGCTTACATGGCAGAGAAAACGAATGCTTGGCACTTGAACTACACATGAAGAGTCCCATCAAAGTAACAGACAAGACCAAGCCTAGCTGAATTACAACTAGAGCTAGTCTTTTGAGTGAGACTCTTCTGATCGCCTTTGAAAAGGCCATGGTTGTTTTGGTTTCTGTGAAGATTGTCCGAAGTGTTGGAGTAAGCTCTAGTTCCTGATGTCGCAGGGGTATGGCGACACGGGCGACCGAATTAGGAGCCCATGTTGCGAAAGCCTATCAGCTCTGTAGCGGTTGTTTACTATGTGTTGATGATGATCTTAGCTGCCAAGATTTTTTCATATTTCTGGCTGAATCCAAAAGTATCATGTAATACACCCACGGGCAACTTCCAACCATTTCGAGGCTGGAGAAATTCAATGAAATAAATGTGATCGTCGCAAAAGGTCACCACGTTCAAGTACTCACCGGTGCTGCTCGCTCTGAATGTGAATGCTCCAAAACGCAAGCTCGAAGACCAATGTACAAACCTCCTCGTACAATCGTACGGTGCATTGTCGGCTTTAATGGTCCATTCGAGAGCAGAGGTGTGCCAGCCAGCCTCATCAAACCCATCATCGGTCCCAGTTCCTTCAAATCCTACGTTTTATAAATTCTGAGGAAAAATGAGAATTTACTACATTTGCTACATGCCTCTCGTTCCT